CAAATAGAATACCCTCAACCAATATTACCACTAATTGAAAACTATACGTTTGTTTTAAATAATCATCTTGGTGGTATATCATGTATTGCTGCTAAGTGTACGCAAAGGGTTACATCATCCAATACCAACGATGTTCAAACTTTCGATTTCATTAAATTATTATAATTTTATTACTTATAAATAAATTATTTAATAAAAAAAAATATTATTAAAATAAAAAAATTAAAAAAATAGTGATTAAAAATTATCGTTATTCTCAGTTTTCACCAATTATCGTTAGCGTATTCATTTAAATTTTTAGAAAAAATTATCTTTTTTTAAAAAAAATTATTCTTTTTTATCTATTTTTAAAATTTATAAATTGATGTAAAATAACAGCACAAACACACATCATAATTTTTCTCTTTTTCGCACCTATTTTATGTGTAATTTTATTTTAGAATAAATTTTTTTTTTTTTTAATTTCACTTATTACCTCGAACCACTTTTTTTTTTTTATGTTCAAAAAAATAAAAAATTACATATAAAATAAAAAAAGTGGTTCAGGTGTTAACATACACAATTTTGATAATGATAAGGAATCTATATTGGGAAATAAGTGAAAAAAAATAAACTGTTTGTAAATTTTAATTGTTTCACTTAACAATTTAAAAAAACCACCCAAAACACCTCTCCAACCAATTTTTTTTTATAAATGGGCAATTTTATTTTTTTAATTTTTTATATGGGAAATTAAATTTTTATCCCAAGAACCTATTTTTACTTTTAAAACATTCTAACTTTCTATTATTTTAAAAAAATGAAATAAAAAATAAATATAAAAAAACAACCAAAACACCAAACCAATTTTTAAGGGGTTAATGTGAAATATCTCTTTCTATTATTCAAAAAAAATATTTTTTATGAAAAAAATTTGTGAGTTTATAAATTTTATCTTCTTTTACTTGTAATTAAAATTACCAAACTTATTGGTATTAATCTGTTATATCTACAATTTTTTTTAGAGAGTTTAAACTTTTTGCACATTTAAAAACATTAGTTTTTAATTAAGGTTAAAAGTATCATTAAAAATTAATAAAAGTTTTATACCTTTTTTTAGAGTTGTAAGTTTATCAATATCTTCATTTTCTTAATTATCCTAAAAATTTTTTTAACAATATTATTTTTTATTTTTTTCTAATCATAATACACTTAGTTTGTCAAGAAACAAGAAAAAATGGTTCTGTTAATTTTTTAAATTTAATTTAAATTTAAAAATTATCGGTGATTTTTAAATACAAGTAAAAGAAGTTAAAATTCCCAACCTAAAAAAATAGATTGTAAAATACAACGCAAGAAATATTTTACATAAACCCCTTTTTTTTTTTATTTTTTTTAAAAAAAAAAATTGGGTGGAGTGTTTTTGTAATCCCAAGATAAGTAAAAAAAAAAATAGGTTTGTGTAATGTTTGGGCTATTTTTTTATAATGACTTTTAGCTAACCCCTAAATATAGTCTTCTTCTCATTATCTATATGATATTAACAATATAATCATCACACATAACCATTTTGATTGACAATTTATTTTATTAATTTTTTTAAATAATTTTAAAAAAAAATTTCATTTTTTTTTTTTTTCAATTATAAATACCAAGTTTTTTTTTTTTTTTAAAACATTTACTCATTTAAATATATTTTAATTAAAACTAAACTTTATAAAAAAATAAAAAGTAATTATAAATATAAATAAATAAAATAAAATAAAATAAAAAAAAAATTAATTTATCTGTTTTCTATTTTTTTTATTAAAATAAAAAGTGCAAGGACCATGGATTTTAGGTATGTTATTCTTGTTTTTTATTAAATATTTTATTGATTAATTTCTAATTTTATGTCTTTTTATGCTCCCTTTTTTTCTTTTAATAAGACCCAGACTTTTCAGTATCTGATATTGTAGGTTTTAATTCTATATATTTTAAAATATTTACTTTTTAATAATAAACTAATTTAATTTAAAATTAAGAAAACCTCATCTGACGGCCCAACAATTATCAAAGTTGAAGTTGATGAATATACTCTTCAATTTACAAGTACATTCACTCAACCAGAAACATATGAGGGTAAAAAACCTGAAGAAATCTCTCGTGATTTTAAAGGTGGAAGGCTAACCGTCCTCAATTTAGGAAATACACCAGTAAAATTTTTCATTATTTAAACAGATTTTAAATTATTTTTTTAAATTAATAATATAATTTATTTTTCGATTAGTTCAAATAATAAATAAATTAATTTATAAAATAACAAAACTAAACAATAAACTGCCTATATAAAAATTTTATAAAATTTGAATATTTTTAAAACTTTTTATTTTTTTTTAATCATTGAATCCTTGTAATTATTATTATTAATATTGTTTTAGTTATTTGTTGTATTAGATGATACTAATTTACCTGGTTTTTAGAAAATTTGAAGAGAATATAAATGGATGAAGAATTGTTTTTATTTCTTTATTCATTATCATCTAAATAGATTATAAATTGTAAAATATATTGATTTTTAATTGTAAATTCTTCTTATCAAATAAAAAAATCTATTTGTTAATATTTGTTTCTTTTTTTATCCATTTCTTTTTATTTATCTATTATATAGTTTAAAAATAAATTAAATTTTATTATCATTATAATTATCATTATCAATATCATTATTATTATTATAGTGTTTTTAACTTTTTTAAACCATGCATTAGTAAAAATCCAGAATCATTTTTGTTTTAGGATATTTATTTAGTATATAATTTTTTTTCCAAAGGACTAAATAAATATGCTTTTTTTTTTAAACTTCAAATTATGAATACTTTTTAAATTTTATTTAAAAATATAATTTTTATATTAGATTATATTGGAGTTATATTTTTAAATATTTTTAAATAGTATTATACAGGCAGTAGGCAAAAGGTATGCTTCCCAAATAAATTTTTTTTTTTATTATGAATTTCTCCAAAATTCAAAAAAAAAAAAACTAAAAAAAAAAAAAAAAAAAAAAAATAATTTGGTTGTTTTTTGGGTTTTTTAAAATTTTTTTAATTTTTATTTTGTATGTATTTTTTTTTTTATAACTATTAAATTAATAATTCATTGTCCTCGATGTTATTATTTCTAATTTCTGAATAACAATTAATTAAAAATGCAACTGTACACCATACCATATGATGTCTTTTAAAACATGTTCAATATGAAAAGTTCCTTGTTTAAATTTATATCTCTAAGTATTGCTTGTAATTGAAAATCTTTTAATTCTAGCAAATACATTTTCGATAATAATCCTGATTGATTTTTGGATTTTTTCTTGTTGTTTGTTATATTTTGTATTTTTACGACCTGCTTCAATAACACACATGTTATTATAAAATGCTTTTAATTCACGAAATCCTTTATCAGCAACAATTGTATCAAATGCACTCTTTAATGAATCAATAAATATATGATCTTTTTTAAATAAGTTAATCAAAAATAAAAGAAATTTGTTTCTATTTTAGGTAATTTAAGACCACGAATTTTGAATAAATCATCGATTGAAGCAGGGTAACCTCAACACTTTATTTGGAGTGGGTGATCTTCTGGAACTTTAAATGATTGTTTATCATTATTTCGAAAACCTAAAAAGTTTCTCATATATTTTCTTACTGTTTGGTTTTCGAGATGGTCGACGTTACAGATTGTAATCGAAATATCTTGACAAAATAGAGTGAATGCATTCCTTTTTGAATTGGTGGAGGCATATGGGCATCCAAGGAAAGTAGTTTTCATTTGAAATGTTCGTATTATTTCTTCGAGACTATTAACCAAGGCAAAATCTTGTGCTTTAACTAAAGATGTTATTGGGGCAAGGTCGATTTTAGATCTTTCTAATTTTAAAATGACAACATTGATCATCCTCTGGTTCGGTTGCAGGAAGTGGGATCAAGTATGGATTAAGTATCATTTTTTTAGCATCAAAATCTGAATTTATGTAAAATCAACTTTTATTAAAGAGAAATTGAATGAAGTTCCAAAAAGTATAAATTCAAGCCTATTTCAAAGATTATCAAAGAAAAGCTTTTTGAATATTGGTCTATTACCTTAATGTTAGATTTGGGTGTTTTTATGGAAATTATAAATCATAGTAATACAAAAATGAAAAGAGACAGATTCTATTTAGTTCAATCAACAACGATAATGATAATAATGAAATAAAAATGATAATAATATAATAAAACAAATAACAATAATAATGTATATAGATTATATTATAATAATAATTCAAAATTCATGGATCCAGACAAGGAAAAAGACAATAGAGTAAATAATATCAATATGGAATAATAATCATGTAATATAAAAATAAGAAAAGCAATCCATCCAACTCTATTCATTCATCGACCAAATTAATTACATTAATTTTTACTTCAAAAATCCGGGTCACCTTCATCATCAATTTTATCACTTATTATTAATATATAGAATTTAAAATTCTCCATCCCTAGTTAATTTTCTATTCACTATCAAAATAAAGATCTTTAATTTTAAGCTTTTTTAAATTTTTTAATATAATAATTTTTTATTTTATTTTTTTTAATTTAAATTTTTTTAATTTTTTTTTAATTTAAAAAAAAAAATTTTATTTTTCATTTTAAATAATAAATATCGCATTCAATCAAATATGAAAATAGAAGGAAAAACATTTGTTATAACTGGTATATAAAAATAATATTTAATTTATTAACAACACAAAAAAAAAAAAAAAAAAAAAAAAGTTTTATTAATAAATAATTATTAATAGGTGGGGCAAGTGGATTAGGTTTAGCAACAACCAAACATTTATATTCATTGGGTGCAAATTTAGTAATTATCGATATGAATGAAGAAGCAGGAAATAATTTAGTTAAACAACTAGGTAGTGATAGAGCTTCATTTCATTGTGTGGATATAACATTGGGAGAACCACTTCAAAAAGCATTGGATTCAGCTGTAAATAAATTTAAAGAGATTCATGGTGCTATAAAGTAATAACAATACAAAATTTAATAATAATTAGTAATAATAAGAATAATATAATAAGATAGAATAGATAATATAGATAATAAAGTACTTTATATTAATTTATTTAAATTTATTAAAGTTGCGCAGGTGTTGCTTCAGCAATGAGAGTTATAAAAAGAAATGGTGATATATTCCCACTAGAATTATTTGAAAGAGTTGTAAGTAATTATAAAATTAAATAACGAACCAATAGTTATTTAATAAATTTTTTTTTTTTTTTATTAAAGATGTCAGTAAATGTTACAGGTACATTTAATGTTATTAGATTAGTCGCAAGTATTATAAATAAACAAAAAGTTCAAAAAGACAATGAAGGAAAAGCCAATGAGAGTGAGGAAAAGGGTGTATTTGTTATGACAGCATCAGTTGCTGCATTTGATGGACAACCAGGCCAAGCAGCATACAGTGCAAGTAAAGGAGGAATTGTCAGTATGACACTACCATTAGCAAGAGAATTTACACCATTAAAATGTAGAATTATGACCATTGCTCCTGGTTTATTTGCAACACCATTGGTTACTGGTTTACCAGCACCTGCAGTCAAATCAATTGAAGATTCAATTCCATTCCCCTCCAGATTAGGTAAACCTGAAGAATTTGCATTTTTAGTTCAACATATTATTGAAAGTAGTTATTTAAATGGTGAAGTCATTAGATTGGATGGTGCACTACGTTTATCAAAATTATAATAAAATATCTTATAAAATCTTAAAAAAACAACACATATCCTTTTTTAAATAAATTTAATTAATAAAAAAATTTTATTATAACCCACATCAAATTAAAAATTAAAAAAGTTTTTTTTTAATTTTTTTTTTTTAATTTTTTTTTAATTTTAATTTTAAACAATAATATAAAAAATAATATTATTTTTTTTTCAACAGGCATTGTGTAAATAATATTATCTCTATATTATTTAAATATTTAATAAAATAATAATAATAACCCATATTGAAAAAAGAAAATTCTATTTATATTAGCAAGGTTGTAGCAATTTCAAGAAAGAAAAAAAAAAAGATGACACCATACTTAAAACTATTAAAAGGGTCATATACACTCCTATCATTCTTTTATTTTCTTGCAAACACATTGATAAGGACTTTTCAAAGTTTTCCAGTATCACATAAAATAATACTGGTTACCTTATATTATACAATATTTTTAGTTTGCATTGCAAAGATATTTTTTGGATCTCCTTTAAGATTAATACAGTCTTATATATTGGGTAAGTATAGTAATTAAATAAAAGAAACACCAATATAACTCATTTCTAATATTAATGTTATTATATTATGTAGAGAAATTAGAAAATGACCAAATATCGATGATTTCATTTATATTTACAATATTTTGTTCTGCTGTTTTATTTTCATGTTTTTCAGTTCTAGGCGTTTATTAAAAGAATCAAAAGAAATAGAATATAAAATTTAAATTTGTAAATAATGTAAATAAATAAATAAAAACTAAATAAATAATTAAATTAAAAAAACCTATTTTTTATTTTATTCTACATTTATAGACTTTTTTTTTTTATTTTTTATTTTTTATTATTTTATCCAGTAGACTGCAATTCAAGTGAACTATCGCAATTTTCTTATTATTATTATTATTATTTATTATTATGACAATAATATTTTATTTTGATTATATGATTTTAGATATTTTAATTATTGTGGTAAAACAAGTTTTTTACCCAACATCTTACTTTTGGCATAATAATAGAAAAAGTCGGCATAAAGTCCAGTTTGGAGAAGACCGGCAATAATTTCGATTGGACCGCTCCAATGTTCGGTAAATATTCTATAAATCCAATTAAAGAAATAAAATGCTCTGTAACCTCCAAGTAAAACAATATAATTTGATGTTAAACTTTCGACTTCACCAGTTCTTTGTAAAAGAATTAATTGTGGTAAAATGGCAACTGATTCCAAGTAGATTGAAAAAGTCCAAAGAATCTAAAAATAATATAATACGATTAGCAATGATTTTATGTTATTGCTGTTGAATTTTTATTTTTTTTTTTTTACTTACCTCTAAAAATTTATCATAAAATGCTGATGGTGATTTATCAAAAGTGATAATAGCTAAAACTAAAGATGGAACAATGAGATATCTAATTTTAAATGTATCGTGATCTTTATCGTATGTGAATTTAAACTTTCTCATAATTAAATCTAGGGTATAAAGTGATACACCAATATATGTAATCTTCATAAATGTGATATAAAATGAAACATAGTTTGAAAATAAGTCGAGATATCTTGCTACAAATACTGTTGTAAATAAAATTTGAGATTTAAGTGAAATACCTATATTGATTTATTGTTGTTTTTTTACAGAAATAATATTAATATTAATACTGTGGTTTCTATTTAAATAAAAACTAATTGATTACTTACCAGTACATGATCTATCATTTTTTATTTTAAAGAGTAAAATAAGCATACTCCCTAAATGGAGCATATCACCTATAAAACTGAAAAGATTCATTTTTTATTATTATTATAACAATTATTAACTATTTATATATTCTGTGGTTGTGTTTATATATTAATGTTATTTAAATGATCTTCAACTAAATTAATATTTTAAAAATAAATAAATAAATGAAAAAAAAAAAAAAAAAAAAAAAAAAAAAAAAAAAATTTTTAAAATAAAAAAAAAAAAAAAAAAAAAAAAATTTTTTTTTAAATTTTTTTTTTAATTTTTTTTTAAAATAATTATTTTTTTTAATTGTGTGTCATTATATAAAGTCAATATTATATTTTAAAATATTTCCCAACTTATTTTATATCTATACTTAAAATAATATCTATTTATATATATATTTAAATAATGGCAAATATATTACAAAAAGATAAAAGATTCTTTTTATATCAAGAACCACCTCCAGGATACATTGCAGGTTTTGGTAGAGGGTATGTATTAAATAAGCTTATTTATAATTATATATATTGAAAATAATATTAAATAATGCAATATTATTATATTTAAAAAAAAAAAAAAAAATTTTAGTTAAATGAATAAAATAGTAATTGTAAAAAAAAAAAAAATTATTATTTAGGGCTGTAGGTTTTACAACTAGATTAGATATTGGTTCAGCAAGAAATTCAGATATACCAGGTTTTGAAGATAAAAAAGGTGGTGGTGGTGGTGGTAGAGAAGATAGAAATTCAGGTAATGATGATGATGATGATCAATCAGTATATGGTGGAAGTAAATTTGATGAATTTGAAGGTAATGCAAGTGATAAATTTTATGACTCGAATAAATCATATGATCAAGATGATAAAGAAGCTGATGAAATTTGGGATGCAATCGACTCTAAAATGGATTCACGTAGAAAAAAGAGAAAAGATGAAAAGGAGAAACAAAGACAACAAGAACAAAAATCATCACGTCCAATTATTCAACAACAATTATCAGATTTAAAACAAGATTTATCAACAATCACAGACGATCAATGGTCATCACTACCAGATGCCGGTAATATTAGTAGAAGTGGCACCGGAAAAAAGAGATATGATATATACACTCCTGTACCAGATTCATTACTCGAAAGAGCAAAAGCAGAAAACGAAACCTATTCAATCTTACCAACTGGTGTTGATAATTCATCTGGTACTACCACTACTGATTTAACTCAGGTTGGCTCTGCTAGAAAGACTGTATTAGATTTAAAGTTACATCAAGTTTCAGATTCTGTAAGCGGTAAAACATGTGTAGATCCCAAAGGCTATCTTACTGATTTGCGTTCAAAACGTATTGCCAGTGATACTGAAATTGGAGATATTAAAAAAGCACGTTTACTATTTAAATCTGCCACAACTTCAAATCCTAAACATGCTCCCGGTTGGATTGCTGCTGCCAAACTTGAGGTATTAGCTGGTAAAATGGCTGATGCTAGAAGAATGATAGCTCAAGCTTGTAAAGAATGTCCAGAAAATGAAGAGGTTTGGATTGAAAATGCCAATCTTCAAACTCCAGATAATGCCAAAATTGTTTTAGCTCAAGCAGTTTCTATCATCCCCCATTCAGTTAAAATTTGGTTATATGCTGCAAATTTAGAAAAACAATTGAAAATGAAAAAACGTGTACTTCGTAGAGCACTGGAGTTTATTCCAACATCAGTTAAACTTTGGAAAGAAGCTGTAGAATTAGAAGAACCAGAGGATGCACGTATTTTACTTGGTAGAGCTGTTGAATGTGTTCCTGATAATGTAGATTTATGGTTAGCATTAGCAAATTTAGAAACCTATGAAAAGGCTCGTGAAGTATTGAATAAAGCTCGTCAAGCCATACCATCAAGTCCAGAAATTTGGATTTCTGCAGCTCAATTGGAAGAGTCTAAAGGAAAGAATGACAATGTAAATAAAATTATTAAAAAAGCTATCAAATCACTCTCATCAAATATTATGGTTATGAATAGAGAAAAATGGATCGAAGAGGCTGAAAAATCAGAAAAGAATCAATATTACGCAACTTGTCAAGCAATCATTTTTGAAACTATAGGTATGGGTATCGAAGAGGAAGAAAGAAAAAGAATATGGGTATTGGATGCTGAAGAGTGTCTTTCAAGAGGTTCTATTAAAACTGCAAATGCAATTTATGCTCATATTCTCTATGTATTCCCAAATAAAAAGAGTGTATGGCTCAAAGTTGCTCAATTGGAAAAAGCCCATGGTACCAAAGAAAGTTTAGATCAAACATTAGAAAAAGCCACAAAATCTTGCCCTCAATTTGAAAACCTCTGGTTAATGTATGCTAAAGAAAAATGGATATCTGGTGATGTCATTAAAGCTCGTGAAATTCTCGCCAAAGCTTTCCAATCCAATCCTGGTAGTGAGAATATTTGGGTCGCTGCCGCCAAGATTGAATCTGAAATGAATGATCTTAAAGCCGCTAGAACCCTATTAAAGAAAGCAAGAGTTGTAGCCGATACCGAACGTATTTGGATGAAAAGTGCTCTTTTGGAGCGTGAATTGGGTAAAGATTCAGAGAGTGAAGGTACTTTAATTCAAGATGCTCTTGTTAAATACCCATCTAGTTTTAAACTTTGGTTAATGAAGGCCCAATTAGAAGAAAGACTTAAAAAAGATATAGAAACCATTCGTCAAACATACAAAAATGCCACTGTTAAATGCCCAAAGAATAGTTCAGTTTGGATAGAAGCCTCACGTTTTGAAGCACGTAATCAAAATTTCAATAGAGCCAGAGCATTATTAGAACAAGCAAAACTCAAAAATCCAACCGATGAGGATATCATTTTAGAACTTGTTCGTTTCGAAGCCTCATTAGATAATAAAAAGCAAGCATTAACTATTCTCTCTGCTGGTCTTCAATTGTGTCCAAAATCCGGTAAACTATGGGCCGAATTAATCGCTATGGAACCTAGACATTCCCAAAAGAACAAATGTGTTGATGCCTTAAATCGTTGTAATAATGATCCCTATGTTTTCACTCAAGTTTCAAAAATATTTTGGTTTGATAGTAAATTAGATAAAGCTAAACAATGGTTTCAACGTGTTACTACTACTTTCCCTTCGTTTGGTGACGGTTGGGCATATTACTACACTTTTGTTTTAAAAACCTCTCAAAACTCTGACGCTGAAGCAAAAGAAATTTTAAATAAATGTATAGAGGCCGAACCAAATCTTGGTGAACAATGGATCAAAGTTTCTAAACAAATTTATAACTCTCATTTAAAAACCGAACAAATTTTAAAACAAGTCTCTTTAAATATCTCAAAATCAATTTTAATTCAACAACATCAACAACTAAAAAAATAAATATTAATTTTTTATTTATATAAATACTTTTTTATTTTCTTAATTTGGAAATTATAAGTTTTTTAAAAAATAAATTTTTTTTTTTTAAAACACAATTTTTGTTAATAAATAAAGTTTTATTTTCTAATGTTATATTAAAATAAAAGAAAATTTTAATTTTTTTTTTTTTTTTGATATAATTAAATTAATGGATGTTCCTCTACATTTTTTTTATTTGGTTCTGTTTCTAAATCATCACTTTTACTAATACCATTACTATTATTGCTACCAACACTATTATTACCATTATTTATATTAATATTTGATAAATTTGTTGAAGAGTCTGGAGAGGTACTGCTGCGATCAACTTTTGAAAAACGTAAAAGCAATTTTTTATTTCCATCATCTAAATCGTCAAAAGGTGTTGAAGAAAGACTTGTGCTCCAAGATTGGATTGGAACAGGTTGTTCATTTGATGCCTGTTTCAAAAGATCATCGAAATGATCCTGGTGAGAACCTAAGCTACCTATACTATAACTGCCAACACTTGAACTAAGATTTTCATCATTAGTTGTAATATGGTTACTGCCGTCATCTGCACCTGTATTACTAATAATTCCACCTGTAGCACTTTGTTTATTTGCTGTTGATGATACACTTGATGATACTGAGGTGCCGGATGGACGTCTACTATGCTTTTTTGGTGAAAATTCGATCATGCTAGCAGTTTTTTCGTCAATACCGAGCTTTTGCATAATTTTGGCTTTTGATGGGTCACAAGACTTTTTTTTTCCAGAGTAGGCGGCATGATATTCTTCTGGGTCAATCTTTAATTGTTTGGCATCAATATTTTCAATGAATGTAATTGCAATACCAAATGTAGTTAAATAATAATATCTTTCCATTCTTAATTGCTCTGGATTACAAAACTTTGAAATGAATTCGAAATTTGAAACCAAATGTGGAACATTAGCGTGGATGATAACATAAATTAAATGAGGTAAAAAATCATCGGCACCACCTGGACTATCACTTGACGATAATAAATACAAAATAACTTTACAACATTTTAATATACATTCTAGTTTTTGGGATGGTGAAAAAAGATCATTTAAACCTTGAAGCTCTTGTTGGGCAGTTGACCAAAGGTCTTTATCACAATGAATTGGACTAATTTCTAAATGTTGTGGCTCTAAGAATGTTGATAATCTATTCGTACGATCAGTTAAGAGTGAATCTCTTTCGAGTGTTTCGCTGGATGAGAAAACAAATTTATATACAGATTGATAGAGGTGATTTTCAATTTCGGCTAATGGTGATTCTGTGAAATCTTCTTCATTAATATCTTCTAATTTTGAGAGTGGGCTAAATACTTGACTTGATTGAATCTTGGTTTTCATTTCTCTAAGGAATGACATTATCATTTCTGCTAAAATATCTTGATTTTGTGACTTTTTCTTTAAGAATCCTTTAATAAAATCATCAACTGAAGATTTTTTTAGTTTTTCGATTAATGCATTGATTTGTTGATCTGGTATTTTGATTGATGGTCTAGTTTGAACTGGTGATGTATTGGCAGTGTTGCCAGCAGTAGTAGTATTATTATTGGTATTATTTACTGAACTAGATGGAGGTGTTACTGGTGTAATTGATTCACTTGAACCACCAATTACTACATTATCGGAACTACTTGGCAAAACAATTGATCTTCTTTGTTTGGGTTGGTCAGAAATATAACCCTCGATTAATCTATCACGATATTCTTTATCCATTTTAGAGAGCTCAGCATTCCAACTTTGTCTAAGTTCAGATTTAGAACCAAATGATGAAGATGGTACCCATTGAGATGGAGATGATGAGGTTGGTGAACCAACAGGGTTATTGTTTTGAGTGTTTGGTCCTTTATTTATATGAATATTCTTTGTTCTACCAATACCATTAGAACTATGATCTTGACTATCTGGTATATAACTACTATAACTATCTGCTAATGTTTCCATAGTCTTTTCTATATCGCCACTGTAACTCGATAAAACATTTGTAATATAATCGTTTGAATATTTTGGATAAATCTTACTTAAAAAACTTAAATAAATTTCATATTTGTTTTTTTTAAAGTCTTTAAAATAAATAAAATATGTTAGTAAAATGATGATGGTGATAAAATAAATACTGTATATGTAATATTTACCAAAAGTAAAAACACTTTCTCTATAATGATGGAACAATAAAGAAGACAATTCATTTAATAAAGAGTTTCTATTACCACCAACACCATCCGATGCACTGGGAGATTCGATATAGCCAATACAATCAGGAAGTGAACGACTTAACTCTAAACCTTGAACATATGATATACTCTGACCTTGAATTTGATTTTCTCTTTGATCTCTATGTAAACCTACTAATATAATTGGTACCTCTGGACATATACTTTTAACTTCATCAAACCATTTATTTGAAACATCTTCATAAGATTGTTTATCGATTAATGAGAATGTTATTATTACGAAATGAGAAAATGAAAGGCTATATAATCTTTCTGTATTTAAAATGTTACTTGTATCAACTGTTTGTATACATAAAATATTACTATTTGAAACGGTATGTGATATAATTTTTTTGCTATTCTGAATTTGATTAATATTATTTATTATAATGGTATCATTATTTTTATCATTATTATTACTTTTATCTTTTTTATTTTCATTATTATTATTACTATTATTATTATTATTATTATTATTATTATTTTTGTCACAACTATCAGTTAATAAAGTATTGAGTGATGATAAAAATGAAGTTGGAGTTTCTGGTGTGCCAATTATAGTTCCTTTTAATTTTAATGCGTAACAATTACAGGTTTTATTGCTTGTGTGACTTTCTATATTGGTTCTTAGCTTGTAATGTGTTGATAATAAATGAAGAAATAATATTCTATTAAATTCTACTATTGGTTTTGAATTTATATAAAAAATTTGATTGTGATTTATATTTTTAAAATTTCTATATATACTGTGGCTGAGAGAGTTTTTATGTTTATTGTTTTGTGGTTTTTTATTACCGTCATTTGTTTTATTGTCCAATTTATTTTCATTTTTATTGCTATCATTATTATTACTATCAATGCTTAATAAATTTTGTGATGAAATAAATAATGTGGAAAGTGTGGCCAGAGATGATGATGATGATGTTAATCTATGGGATTTTAATTTTTGTGGTGAGTTTGTAATATTGTTATTGTTATTATTATTTATATTTTGATTTTCTATACAATTTTCATCCTTTAAAGATAAACTAACTAAACTTGTTGATCTATTTAAGGTGCCACCATTATTGTTATTATTACTAGTAGTACTATTACTATTATTACCATTATTATTATTACTATTATTATTAATTAAACCAATACTTAAGTCTTTTTTATTGGACATAAATTGACACTGACAATTTGTTATATTTATTTGATTAAAATGTAATATTGAAAAATGTTCATAATAGAGTATCTTCCAAAGGTCAGCAAAATTAGAGATTGTATTGAATAAATAACTACAAGTATTTGTTAATGCTAATAGTGATGGTAAATCTAAAAAATGTGCCCAGTATGAAAGTGTTGATATAATTAATCTTGTAACGACAATTGAACTATCTGCACCTCGAGAAACTGAAACCGCACGATTTTTTCTATTATTGAATACTATAGTTTTATTACCATTGATATTATTAGCACTGTTAGTACAATTACTATTGGCGTTATTTAATGCTTGCTCTTGAGAGTGCTGGGTGTCAAACTCGTTGGCTGTAAAAAAATCGACTACCAATGGATGGGCTGATAACTGACTACCCAGTGTTGGACTATTGAATATGGAGTTTGTAAACTTTTGTAAATCCTCTTTTCTCTGACCAATAAATTCATTATTCATTTTACCGAATGTCTTTTTTGGTGGAAATGGTATCTTTGCTAAAGGAAATGCGGCATGAAGCTTCAAATCAAATTCTAAAAACTCTGAATATCTACGATAAACTACATATACTGATGAATCTGAAAGCTCTACTTCAACTCTGTAAACTGTATACGGTTTTCTTTTTGGTGATATTGTTTCCGTTAAAGTAATTGAAGCACTTTTAATTACTCTTGGGTCAAATTCTTCACCATTGGTTTGCTTTGTTGTAGCTTTATTGGTTTCATTTGTTGATTCATCCTTTTGTTCGTTTTTATTCTCTTTACCATCATCATTATTATTATCATTATTATCATTATTATTATTATTATTATTATTATTATTAATTGCAATAGTTGAACTTGAAGTTTCTGCTGAAATTAATTTTTCTCCATTATTTATAATATCATTTTCATTTTTATTATTATTATCGCTGTCAATAGAAATACTATTTGTTGTCATTTTTTTTTATTTATAAATATAATAATAGTTATATAGGTTATGATTTGCTATTATTGCTATAACTATTATTATTATTACTATTTATTTTATTAATAACGAAACTAAATCATAAAAAAACAATTAAATAAAAAAAAAAACAAAATAAATTTGGTATTTAAAAAAAAAAATATGAATAGATCTGTATAATTTTTATATGTATATATTTTATAAGTGTTGTTATTATGTGTGGGTGTGAGTATTTGCTACTTTTTTTATTAAATGTTTTTTACACTTTAATGTTTTGTTTTAAAATACTAAACAAAAACTATTATTGTTATTGTTATTGTTATTGTTGTTAATATTAATATTATTACTACTATTTATTATATTTTTTCTTAAAAAAAATGATTAGAGATTATTTTTTTTATAAATATTTAAATTATAAAATTTTTTTTTTTTAAACTCTCTTTTTTTTTTTTTGTGCTAATAATAATTTAAAAAATCATTATCAGTTATTTATTTATTTATTTAATGAGAGAGTTTATTTATTTAATCAAAAAAATATATAATAGGTCTTAAAGTTTATTTTATAAAAATAAAAAAAATTAAAAAAAAATAAAAAAAATAAAAAATAAAAAAAATAAAAAAAATTAAAAAAAAATTTTAATTTTTTTATTTTTTTTTTGTTTAAAATTGATTTTTTTAGTATGAGGGCTGCCGTTTTGGTGAATGAGGAAATACTTAATTTCAGATATATTTATATTTGTATTATATTTATTATTTTCAATTTTATTTGGGATTTGCTAGCAATAAACAAAAAAAAAAATTGGGGTAAAGATTAAAAAAATAAGTTGGGGGTATTATCTTCAAGTCAATTCCTTTTTTTTTTTTAATTTTCAAATATTTTATTTTATTTCTATTAGAAATATACCTTTTATTTATTTTGGTTGTTTGATTCCTAATTCTAACTTTTTTTTTTTTTTTTAAATTAAATTTTATCTTTTTTTTTTTTTTGTGATATCCCGGTTTTTTTCGGTTTTTTTTTTTTTTTTTTTTTTTTTTTTTTTTAAATTTTTTTTTTTTAAAGCTTAATAATTATATATAGTTAAAGGGCTGATTATATATTAAATTATAATAATTATAATTATAATAATAATAATAATAAAAAACATAATAATAATAATAAGTACAATAATTTCCATTATAATTTTTTTTTAATTATCTCAATTTTTTTTTTTTTTTAAAAAAATTAAAATTTTTTTTTTTTTACATTTGTTTTTTTAAATTATTTTTTATTTTTACAATTTATAAAAAATAAATTATTGTGTATATATATATTATACTTGTTTTTTTTATAAATTAATATGAATATACCAATTACCGAGACACTCAAAAATGAAGAGAATAATATCATAAATAACAATAATAATACAAACCCAAATAAATCATTAGACAAAAGCACCAACGCTAGCATTGATAGCATTAATAATAGTAATAATAGTAACAATAATAAAAATAACAATAGTAATAAAAGTAATGCTGATAGTTATGATGATGGGGAAACAGTAGTTGTGACAATTAATAACCAACCAAATCAATCATTCATAGACAGTTTTATTGAAAAAGCTAATATTTCAGAAATTCCAGCAATTTCATCACAAAATAATTCCACAATTAATAAAGATGACAGCACAATAAATAATATAAGTTTAAATAATTCTTCAATGATAAATACAAATAATGATACAAATAATAGCAAAATAAATAAAAACAATGATAATAATAAAAATAAAAATTTAATTTCAAAAATTCTTTCTTCAAATGATGGAGGTGGTGACGAAGAGGAAGAGGGGGAAGAAGAAGAGGAAATGACAGGTTACAACTATCAGAATGAAGCTATAAATGACGAGGAAGAAAGTGATGTTAATGATGGTAGTGAGGAGTATGAGGTTGAGGGCTATGACGATAATGAAGAAGAGGAAGAACAGTATGGCGAGGAAGAAGAAAATATGGAATATTACGATAATTCAGACGCATATATATTTCAAATGAATGAAATTGAACAACAATTAGAAAACGTTAGAAGGTATGTATTGTATAAAAATTTTGAATAAACATCATTAAATTAATTTTTTTATTTATAATTATTATAGCCAATATGAACACTTAGAGACTATTTCATCAATGATTTCAGAAAAACCATCAGTTATTTTAAGAAATCATGTTTATGCAACAAGCGAAGTGGATAGCAGCAGCCAACAAGAGTATGATGATGCCGACGACGATGAGCTGTACCATTATCAACAACAACAACATCCACAGAATAGTTATGATCAATTTAAAGTTCAATTCCACCAAAAACAACAACAACAGCAGCAATTGTATCAACAATCAACTCAGTTACAGCAACCGCTTAGATTTAAACAAAAATTAGGTTATGGAAATGGCTCAAATAGAAATAAATTACATTATTATGAAATTGATGAGGAGGAGGAGGAGGAAGATGACGAAGAGGAGGAAGAAGAAAGCCAACAAAATAACCCTCGTCAATATCACAGTGAAGAATTTTATGATGAAGAGGATTTAACAGACCGTATTAATTGGTTACCCCATGCTTCTGGTATCAACAGCACCATAAATAATAGTAGTAATAGTAACAGTAATATAAATAATACTAATAGTAGCAGCAGTCCATTAAGACCATTCTCTTCAATAAGAAAGAAAATGATTGATAAATCGAAAAACTCACCATTTGCTCTTGTTGGTTATGATTTAACTGATGAGGATGAAGATCAAAGCTTTGCAACATGGGAACAAAATTTACCAAACAAAACTCAGCAGGTTGATAAAAATACCCCCTCAAAAATTGTATCACCATCACCATCACCATCATCTCAACAACAGTCAATACAAACACCACAACAATTAAAAGCACCACAAAGCATTACACCCAGCAAAGAAAATTTAGAAAATTACAAAAGAAATTCAATTGGTGGTTATATTACAAATTTAATTACACCAAATAAAAACATTCATAATAATGGAGGCTTTAATAATGATTCAACACTTTCAGTTAGTAGAGAGATTGAACAATCTATAGAGTCATCAATATTAAATAATCCAGGTTATGATCAAATTCCTTTCCCTCATAACCACAATAACCATGATCAACATATAGCACCACATCATTACATACATCATAACCATCCTCATAATCATCCACAAATGCAACCACAATATTCAATTAATAATCATCTTCAATATACACCATTAAAATCACCCTATCAAGATGTTCAACAATATGGTAGTTTTTTTGCAACATCTTCACCATCACCATCTATCAATAAACACCAAGAAAGCCCAGATGTTAATAGTAATGCGCTTCATGCGCTTGAGGGAAAAAGATTATTGGCCCAGGTCAATAAATTTTTGGATGGCTGTTCAATTCAAGATATCACATTTATGAATTTAATTTTCAAACAATTGGCATCAATTAAATCTTCAGTAACTTGGGAAAAAACTTTATATTCTATTCATGATTTACTTCAAAGTGAAAGAGTTGTACAATTATTACAATTACAGAAAAAACTAGTAGAGCAACAACATGAATTACAACAAAGACACCAACATCAACAAACTTATCAACAACCAACACAACCACAACACTATCAATATGGTCAACAGGTCTATG